TCCATGAAAACAGGTGCATGCACAACTGTGCTGAATGCCTTATGCTTGCATAATTGAAGCTATCATTTCTCATTGCACAGTATAATAGCTATGAAAAACCAGCCACCAAAACATTTAAATGCACAAGAACGGTACAGTATATAAAGTTTTCAGTGCCAGTTCAGGTATTTCAAGAGAAAATCTACATAAAAAAATCCCTGTGGTGTAGAGAAAAACAAAATCCAGTGTGGTTGTTTTACCATATGGCTGATTATATCGAGGCCACCATGACAAACTGACTGTATTTATACTTAAATACCAGCAGATCTGATTTATGCAAGACGATTCATCAGTAATGAGGGAAAACAGAAGCAAGCTGCAGAAAGTGCCACTGCAGCAGATAGACATCCGCTTGCTTGAGCGCTTCCTCTGCAACCCTTTATTTACCTTTACACTCATGTTTAATTCCAATGTAACAGCTGATGTGACACATGCACCAAGATGACTGCAGCAGCTTCCTTCTGTTAGGTTGACCTCAGCTGTGTGCTTTCATGGGACAAGACAAACCCTGAGCACAATCTCTGTCGTACACCAGTCTGTGATATACTGCAGGGTATAATCACTACATTTTAGAGTAACACTGAAATAATAACAAAAGTGAAATTACAATCAGCTAAGTTTCATTTTGGCTTTGGTGTTTGTTTTGATTTATTCTTGGAATCACAAAACAGACTATTTTTTAATAAAGTTTCCAGCCGCAGCAGTACAATACATTAGTTTTGTCCTGCGGATGAAATTTTTTGGTAAGAGCTGAAAATGCTGGTGCAGTATCTGGGTGGACAATAGTACTTATTTCATTTTTGGTTTTCATTATTTGAATCATTAACTGGGTATTAGTAAGTGCTGAAGTCAAGGGTTGCTGGGTGCTACGTGTTTTTAACATCCTGTAATTTCCAGTCACCAAAATGGACCCATTGAAGAGAGAAGCTAAGAGTTGGGGTGTGTTCAATCATGTTGGAGGGGAAAGGGGTTAGAAGCTATTTTCAGTGGCCACCAACAGTCATAGAATGGAGCACGTTATGGTGATTAATCAAGATATGGGGATATTGGCAACTAGCTTCCTTTTCAAGTGAAAGCTTAGCCAGCTAGCTAGTTCTCTCAAATGTCAAATGTTTCAAAGAAAGACAGTTTAAATAGCTAATTGCTAATGACTAGGAACTAGTGTTATGTGAACTTGCTGGAAAAGGAGAGAAACAATCAGCATTCAGTGCATAATGTTCACCAGTCAACCGTGGGCAATGTCAACTCAGAGTCTTGAATCTTAGAAGATTCCACAAATGTATCCTTAAATAGTTTTATCCTCCATTTGAAAATGTAAAAGAATTCATCCTAATCACTTATATTTCGTTGTACAGAAAAAGTGATGAGGATTCAAATTTCAGGTCAGCTTTAAAGCAACATAAATTACGAGCTAGTAAGTAGATTCAGACTGCTATAACCACAAAAAATAAGGTATTTTAATCATGGAAATAGTTTAATTTGACGCCTCCCTGAGGATGTGATTGATTGTTTTTACTGGTGTGTACTTGCTTGATGAGGATCATCAGCTGGAGCTCTGAGCTTACAGTATGCAGTACCTTTATAGTTTTCAGCTATATTACTGGTGACACAGTTGACAAGAAATACAGCAGAATTAATATGAGCAAATTAACTGGTTACACAGTATAACTCAATATAGAACTTTATGGGTAAGCTGTCAACGTAAGCACATAAGACACTATTAGATTTGAAGAGTATGTGGACCAATATATCAGCCTCTTCCAACAGTTTAAAAATGGTCGCTGAATTATTACAGCCTAGCAAATGAAACAAGCTCACAATATGCCCCCCACTACCATCCTGCATGAAATAAATATCTCCCAGACACAAGTTAAAAGCCTTAAGGCTACAAAATCAATATTTCATAGGCAGGAGGTGATAAAGAGTCTTGAGGCAGCTCTTCCTGTCTTTGAAGCAGCCAATAGTTCAGTAGTGAACAGCAGGATGGGTCGGTGGCATCGGATTTGGGCCATTGCACAAATTTAACAGGTATATGAAAGACTTGGCAGCACTTCACCCTGCAGTGAGTTGAGAATTTGGAAAATAAAAAGCCTGGGTGACCATCACAGGGTGTATGTGAAGCTATAGATCCAGCAAATCCCGACGTGTGGCCCTGTCACTTTGTAATGACCCTCCAGAGGTCTGAAGTCCAGGGAATCAAATTGATTTATATTTTGTCTGCAATTCTTCCTTTGCCCGTGTACTGAAACATCCATCCCAATAAAGCATTGACATGACTTGAACCCAATGCTGCTTCCAATGTAACAAATGCCTCAGGCCCCAAAAGTTCCAGCTTCTTTGTGTGATCAATTTTTTTGCCAGTTTGGTAAATTTGTTAGTGCATACAGTATACACAACTAAACCAAAGCAGCAACAGAAATTATAATGGCCTAAAGAAAGCACTTTTGAACTTGCAGAGGAAACCTCTCTCCAAAATTGTTAGTTATTATTCCACTTGATATCATTTATGCAATCCTCTGTGATTTTTGGTTTGTAGAAATAGTAGTGAAGTAATATTCTGATCCCGCAAAGCAAGGGTTGTGTGCAAGGCTTGGAAACCAAGTGCCCAGAGGCCCACGATCCACAGAAGTGTCCAAAGGCTATCGGTTCACCACCTGACACTTAGTGTAGGTTAATTTAACTGGTTCAATTCAATTGTATGTGTATAGTGCCAGTTCACAATAGCACTCATCTCAGGGCACTTTACATAGTAAGGTCTATACCTTACAGTAGTATAGGGAAAACCCAACAAATCCCCCTGGAGCAGCACTTGGTGACAGTGGAGAAGAAGAAACCTCCGACAGACCCCATCTATTGGCGGGTGGCTTTCTGCCTCGACCGGTTGGGGTGAGTGGATAGAGGAGAGAGAAAAGAAAGGAAAAGCAACAAGACACAAGAAGAGAGAGGAGACACACAGTTAATGACATGTAATGGTGGCATATAAAATGGAGAGGGAAGGAGAGGAGAGCTCTACATAGATACATACAAAGTCCGCCCTGTTGACTAGAAACAACTGGTATAGTTAAATATACTCAGCGGCAACCTGCCCCCCTGTTTGCTTGCAGTTACCAAGATGGCTGTCAGTCTTATCCCTGTTCAGCCACATTAGTTGTTATGATGCCATGAAATATCGGAAGACATTTCACAACATACTAAGTACCTTTCTGCCCTCCCTCACTGTCCTACTAGGATTATATTGAAAACAACAACATTACATTAAGCTAACAATCAGCTTTATCACAAAGGAAAGTCTTAAGTCTACTCTTAAAGGTAGAGAGGGTGTCCGCCTCCTGAACTGAGACTGGGAGTTGGTTCCATAGGAGAGGAGCTTGATAGCTAAAGGCTCTGCCTCCCATTCTACTTCTGTGGACTCTAGGAACCACAAGTAAACCTGCACTCTGAGAGCAAAGTGCTCTGTTAGGATGATAAGGCTCTACGAGGTCTTTAAGATACGATGGAGCCTTGTCATTAAGGGCTTTGTATGTTAGGAGAAGGATTTTAAATTCTATTCTGGATTTTACAGGGAGCCAGTGGAGAGAAGCTAATATGGGAGAGATATGATCTCTCTTGTTAGTTCCTGTCAGTACTCTGGCTGCAGCATTTTGGATTAACTGGAGGCTTTAATGATAGTATATGAACTAAAGCATCATATAGATTAAAATGATGGGTGTCTTCATGCAACACCTTTAGTATTATCTAATCTGGAGTTAAATTGTCATGTTAAGGCCTTTGTAAGTGTTAGTTTATCTTATGCTTATGTAATGTATTTTATTGAATTAATTTCTGTGCTATATATTTACAATATATACACACTGCACAGAGAATAAGGAGAAGCTGGTGGTTGATAAGGGCCACCTGGACATTTTTGCCCAGGGGCAGAATGTCCCTAAGAATGAATAAAAACCCCTTAAAACATTTTGGGATCCCATGTGGGTCCTGAACCCTTTGTTGGAAACCACTGATTTGCATGGTGTAGTTTCATAAATGTTTGTTTTTAGTCAAATTACCCTTTGTTAGTACATACCCATTTCTGGGGCTTCAGGGAATAACATAAATTTGTCATGTGTTGCTGCCACAGAGGACACTCTGTCCCTGAAGGGCAATGAAAGGATATGGTTTGTACATGAAACAGAGTGGGAGAAATGAGGGGTCGTTGTTGGGAAGGGTGGTGGAAGTACTGTTTGGTTCACCCCTGTTCCTTGTTCTTGACATTTTGTTTCCTTTTGCTTGTGCATGTTAATAGAAAACAAGAAATCTGATCTTAAGCCTGAAATTGAGTTCAGCTTAAATGAAATCCCAACAATAAGCAGAGATCAATGCTAAATGATAAACAGAAATATAATTTAAAATGTTACTTCTGAGTATCTCTAAAACATTAAAACAAGGCGATACCTACATAAATATTAATTAAAGCACAAAGGTCAGGGTCAGCGGCACAGAAGACTGCTGGACAAAGAGTCCCAGTGGCCCAGCTTTGCTGCAGGCGTTTCATTTGTGGCTAGAGTCCAAGCTTCCGTTTTATCCCATTGCCACCCTGCTGTCACAATCCAGTATGTTAAAAACTGGAAAGAGACAGAGAGGACAGCTACTCCTGTACCCTATTAATAAAAAAATCAATTGCCATCAAGCATGGACACTGATTTGGCAGCCTTTGGCAAGGCGTTATTCAGTGAGTCAGGATTTAATCTAGTGTTTTTTAGCATAATAATGGAGAGCAACGGCTTAGCAGAAATTTGTCTGTTTGGATGCCAGAAATGCACTTAAAGGGAACACTGAGGAAAATGTTCCCTCGGATATGACCCTGCGATGACCTGTGTCCATGTCTAATAATTCACTGATGCATTTTGCCTCTAGAACGTGCAAATATATGCACAGGTTTGATGACGATTGGGTGTTTGATTCACCTCCTGGCCACGTTGACTGTAACAAAGTAGTGGAGCCGTTACAGGAAAAGGGAGCTCTTTTTAAACGCTTTTGCTCGGGATCAGATGCTCCCTGTGCGGGCAGCGGAGCTGAAGGAGCAGGCAAGCAGCGATTCGGCGATGAGTGGAGCTGTGTGCGCAACTTCTCACCAGTCACCCTGCTGCTACTGCTGGAGTTTTCTTTAGGATCCTCTTCTTGTGACACAACGAGCTGGACTTTACTTCTTCTGCCAACATGTATTCAGCAGCACTGCTGCTGATGCTGGCCGTCAGGATCTGCGCGGACAGCATGGAAGGACCAACAGGTAAAAGAAGGGAGAGGAAATGTTTGGCACTTTGGATTTGGCGAGGTGCACTGTGCGCACCTGTAAATCTGTTCACTACCAGAACTGCTGTTTTAAAGTTGATTGTCGGGGTCTAAAGTCGCTCTTTACGCACAGTCTAGACAGTTGCCAAAGTCAATATTGCGTTTTTCTCCTTCTGCGGTTTTCTGACTTATGAAGTTGACAGTGTGTGTTCAGCTGCGAACCCTGGATATAGTCAGAGGTGCGACCTTTATCATTTGTGCCTGCAGGACAGTGAAACGCTAATATTCCAGCAGCCATGACATGAGGAATACTGGTATCCTCAGTGTAATAGCGTCATTTCATTACACGACTCAGCGGTATTTGGTGACTAAACACATTTCGTTTCAAGATCACGTGCGCAAAGTAAAAAAAAAAGTCAGGCTTTCAGAAATGAAAGTGAACTGTGAATGCTGAACACCGTCTGTCCCCCCCACTCTTCCTTTACTGTCTCTCCATGTCTGTCAAGTGTATTCAGCATCATGACGTCTGCTGTCATGTTTTCATTGTTCAGACTTCAGTAGGTGGCAACACCGTTTTCTGCGCCAGTGTGTCCTCCCAGAAGAAACATGTCAATTACATCCCAGTGACTACGTTATCCTTCGTGTGATGTGTGTGCAACGGGCTGCTGATTTGCCAGCATGTTAATAGTACTGATGGAACATTCTGCATGTGTATGTTGCTGTTGCAGGGGATCGTTTGGTTGACTGATTCCTTTTGCGGCAGAGTCATTTAGGAAGACAGTTTAGGCTGAACAAATCAAGGGGAGTGTGTTTTCTGCTTCCATGGAGCAACACAGTGGAGATGTATTAGTAACCTGAGTGTTGTGCCCCCAATAACAGCTGATCCAGTTGTCTGTGTGTATCAGTCAAAGTTTGATAGACAAACGCAGACAGTTTAAAAGTGTTCTCAGAGACGAAAACTGAGATTTTAAGCCATAATACCCGGAGTCCTCTGAGTCCTCCAGAGATAAGGAGTCAAATCCTCTTCCCTTTGCTGTTGCAAGTTCAACATTTGAATGGCTGAAAGTGTTTTTGAGGATTTCTAAAGGCCTCTGAACTTCGTCTTTTGAGAAACGTTATGGAATACAGTTGGAAAAAGATCCCTTTGGTCACACCCTGTCAAGTTTGTCTCAAGTAAAAGTGCCAGTTGGTTTATTTCAAGAATGCTTTGTAACTCATATGAGCTATGATATAAATACTCCGAGTATCAGTTACACAGCTACAAAAGGCAGTTGCTGAACAGACGTGCACTGAGCCACTCCTTGCTCTCCAGGATCAAGTTGGTTCTGTAGGCAAGATTGAATGGAACAAGCCAACTGTCTTAAGAGCTTACACAGAACAACACAGTTGGCATTCATCCAGTTTATTTGTTGGAAATAATCTCATTTGTGAAGAACTAATACTGGTGGAAAATCACTTCCCCACAGACAAAGCAGATCCTAACTGCTTGTCTTATGCTGTGTATTGAACCTCAGAGTTTTTTTTTGGCACTGACTGAAATGTGTTTTAGAAATGAAAGCAAAGAAAAAATTGGCATCAGTTGTGTGGTCAGATTTATAATCTTGTTTACTTATTCTTGGATCAAATGTTTTCTGATATCAATCCAAATGTGGCCGGTTTTGGACTATACTGTATATTCACAGAGTTTTTGTGTAGTTGTCATCAAAGTGAGGTATCATGTTATCAGGCTGTAAATGACGATGATATTTGCTATTATCAAATCCTGATGCTTTACTGTTATTGTCATGATTTTGGTTAATCAATCTGTGATGTAATGTAGAATATATCAGAAAACAATGAAAAATGCACATCATAATTTCCCAAAGCCCAAGGTGATGTCTTCATTTGTCTTGTTTTGTCTGAGCAACAGTCTCGAACCCCAAGACATTCAGTTCACTATTGCAGAAGACCAAGGAAACCAGAGCAGCCCGAACTGGCAGTTCACATTTCACCACACCCACATCAGCTCTTTAGTCTCTCCTGTTACAAGTATGATACCTTTGGTACTAATACCCAATTTATTTTCCTTAGTTTGGAGAATCTACACTTGTTTTAACTTGTTTTAAAATGAACCTCAACAGTACCTTAGTTTAATCTTTATAGCTGCCTTTAAAAAACTGTTTTAGTTGTTATGACATATGTTAGAAATAAAGAGCTCTACCTGTTGAAACAGTCTAATTTTAGAAGTAAAGAGCTCTACCTGTTTAAAACTATTGTTAGAAATAAAGAGCTCTACCTGTTTAAAACTATTGTTAGAAATAAAGAGCTCTACCTGTTTAAAACTGCCTCTATGTAAAATAGTCTGTTAGAAAATCTAAAGAATATGTGGTATAATATAAGAAATAGGTTAATGAGTGTAACCCACATTAGTTTTGCTGCAGAAAGTTGCATCATTTGATGAACGTCAGTTGGTGCCCATATCTAATGCTGAACGTATCGTACAAACAGAAGAAGTAGGCAAGGGACAGTGGCCAGGTTGTGGTGGTCTGTGGAACTTCTTATATTTTTGAAAGCTTTTTTTTTTGGCATTTTATTAGACAGATTTAATAGACCGTTTACAGGAAATGACCAAGCAGACAGACGAGGGATGCTGCAGTTTGTGGTGGGTGCCACAACCGTTGGGCCACCAGTGCACCACAAAATGCAGTTTGATGTCGTGGCAGGATCTATGAGAACTGAAGTTAAAATGTTTGCCTTATGTTGCCAACATGTTGTGCTGTGCAGCTTGACAAAAACCATGAGAACATGCCACCCCATCCTTGCTTTCTCTTTCTACCCTATTCAAGCAGTTGACTATCTGTGTCTGTCTGAGGTCTCTTAATTCAGCTCTATAGTTTCACCAACAGAATGCATGATTGCTGAGGTCAAGCCCAGTGTGATGTTTAAGTGCACCCAGCCCCCTGTTAGTGACTGCTCCAAGCAGTCAGAGCGAGAAGGCAATTTAATCTTGAAGTGAAACCATGAAAGCAAATCCCTGACATGCAGCTCCAAACACTCTGAAATTGTAGGTTGGAAGGAGGCTGGCCTGAGAAGACCACACCGAAATGGGCACTGACACAAGAAGGTGGGTTTTCGTGGGCTGCTGGGAGGACACAGAGAAGCTTCTTGGTGTGTAGTGGTGTGGATCTGGCTCAGTGTTAATCCAACGGAAAATAGCCCAACACACATAAGCTCCTCTGGGGCAAATGTGGAGGCTGTAAAAGGAGAAAATGGAGCGTATGCTTATACAAAAGGCAGTGCTGAAATGTGGTTGTTCTGGAGGAATGAACATAAGATTCTTTAATAGAACAATAGTGAAATGTGTAATGGCTACACATTGTTCATGAAAATGAGTACACTGTAATTATTTTAATGACAGTAAGTTGGCAAAGGGACGTGGCTTGTTTCAACACCCATTGTACAAATGAATAAAAATCACAAGATCTATCAATATAGTTCCAAGTCTTCAGAGCCGGAAGACTGCATTTCTGAAGCAACAGACTAAACACTTCAGCTTTGCTTGTGTGGCTGAAGAAAAATGAACACAATTAAGCTTGAAATGGATAAAAATGACCAATTTAAAATGATAAAGTACAGTCCACATTTCATCCCTCTTCCTCTTGATACAGCATTAAATGGACTGCATTTTACAAACAGTTTACATGACCCTTTTTCTCTTCAGTTTAAATGGACTATTAAATGGTCAAACATCAAATGTACGGACACATTCAATCAGCCAAAGCAGTCCTGGCGTATGGAGCTGGAGAGAGAAGCAGCCCAGCTGTGGCGCCAGTCAATAAGGCATTGCCTCCCCTATATAATCCAGCACTTTGATGGCTTTTGAGAAATTTTAATTGCCTCTGCTGTTAGTTGCCAGTCATTCTGTTCATCTCCGAGAGTTTTATTGGCAGTGTGGCTAAAGGTGTTTGACAGAACAAAAATTTTACTTTGAATCATCACAGTGGAAGGCTTCATGGGTTGGAAGATTTCAGGCCTGTGAATAGCTGAGAGGCTTGGCGACCTTTTAGTGCCTTTTTATACCACTAGCATGATTAATTCCATTAATTTGAAAGTGATTTCTTCCCCCTGCCATCGAGGGAGGAGCAGGGCTGCTGTTGTACTACTGAAGTCAATTTTCTCCATGGGAGTAGAGTTGAAATGCAGTGTCACCTCCAAAAGACTTTATCAGGCCTGTGTAGGCTGAATTCAGCACCTTCTGCGTTATTTGTCCTTACTTCTATTCTACTTTAGCAGTCATCAGTTGTCAGCATCGCCGGACAGTATTCCATTATGTGTTATGGTAATGCGAATAGATGAAATATTTCAAGCAACATGTCCAGCACAGGTTGTCAGATGTATTGTATTAGGTTGTTTTTTGGACAGAGTTGTTCTGCTGGCCTGTCTCTGAAGGAGAGATGCACTGATTGCAGTTTTCTCGACTGATTTCTAATTATTTTCTAAGTCTGACCTGCAGATTCCGATTTTCTTTTTTTCTAAGAAGTGCAACTGACAGCATGCACAAATATTTTTGTAAGTGAAAAATTAAATGGTAATAAAATAAAACATTTTAGTAGGCCTGCAGGGCAAACATTTTCTTATATACTTTTACAAACCTCCAACTTAAAATGAAGTGCAGTGTTTGTAGTTATCTAAACCAGAAACATAAGAAATCGGTTGCATTGAACACGGTTTATTTTAATGTATGTGTCATTTTTAACTTTTCTTTGTTTTACCACAGGTTGGATACACTGTTTTTAAACATGCATTTAATGTGTAGTTAGAGCAGTAATTTGATCATTGTGTACTGTGGAGTTTTCCCTTCTGTAAGGTGTTTCTGTAGGCTCCTTTGTGCACTTTTTGTACATGAAGAACTTCCAATGCATGAGTGACCACAAACCCGGTATAGACAATGTGAAGATAAGTCACACAGTGTTGAACTGTGGTAATTCAGAATGGGCAACCTTAGCTGACTGTAGCTAC